CGTAATAATAATGTCGTAAATAAGCTTAGAAGTATAATGATAATTAACTCTAGAATAATTAAAAAATCGACAGGAATATCTCCTGAAGCGTTCAATATTTATTTTCGTTTATTACGTTTTGCAATGTGCTTCAAGGTCTAAAATATGGGTTACAGCTTGTCAAATCGCATCGTACTGACCACACGTGCGGGATCCGCCCGACGTGGGTGGTTTTTTGATTTTGCTTATTTTTTTATTTTAATACAGAAATGCTTACTATGTTAGAATCTGTATTTAGTTATAATACTAACGACAATCATCGTCATTCGTTAGACACCAAAAATCGCTAACTAAAACTAACTATTACTTACATATAATGTAGATATTAATAAATCCATAAATATAGGTCCCTATAGCAAACCGTTAACCTCCCACTGCTACACACGTATCTCCGTTCATAATAAACCAATATTAACCTATTATTACCGCACTTCTCAGGCGGTTTGGATGGCCTATTTTTTCTAATTCTTATGTTGGTCTTTTCGTCTTTGTTATCCTTGTGGCCTTTTATGATTCACTATATATGAATGGAAGCTAGGAACGGCGGTGGTACCTACTCTTTTCCCAACACGATATATCTACGACAATAAGCTCCAAATTATTCAAATTCAAACAAATACAAAATAATTTCGGAAGAATATTTTGAGAATATCAAAATATTCTTCCGAAATTATTTTGTACCTAATTGATATCTCAGAACTCAGTCATTAAGCTGATGTAATGTAAATGTCGATTCAAAATTAAAGATAATCAATTTTAAAATGACTTAATTAAAATGTCTTACCATAATAACTAAATTTTCTCAGCGCATGAATCGTTCGACAGTTCCTGTAGAAATTATAAGTTTGGTGCCGGAGGTTGTCGATTTTGGCTCACTGGTTCAAATTGCCATTATTAAAAGCCCCAATTGAAGACCACCCGGGTTCCTTAATATGATATTATTTCTTTCAAATTTAAAAGTGCAATCCAATATGTTCCATCTGGGAAGATTCATTCTTTCCCGATAAATGCGTAGATAAGTTTCTCCGTATGCTTATTACAATTTCAAGACACCAAAAGGATTGTATTGATTGTAAAAGGAATGTAAATAGATTATGGTTGAATGTACGTTATATATATAGTATATAAAAAACCAGTCGCGAACTATGGTTAGTAATATATAAAATCTTATATTCTGCAATATATAAAGTTACACTTCTTGTGACATCATGATTTATTGTTTCTGGAAATTTATTTAAGATTCAACAACAAATTACTGGATACCAAAAATTACTGAATCCTGACTGTCGGCTATGATTGCAATTCGAAGTATAAGGACCACAAGAGGGCCTCCTTTTGTTTTTTTTTATTTTACGATACTATTGTGGGCTGAGATAAATATGAATAGAATAGAATAGAATAGAAAATCATTTATTCAAATAAACTTACATTGAAGCACTTTTGAATAGTCATTACATTTTTTTTAATCTACCGCTCGTTCGGAAGCTGTCTCATCACTTTATTCTCATTTTATTATTATTTTACATTTTTAAGTTTAAGAATACAAACCACCAATTAGCACTAATTCAATTAAATACTCAAATAGAAAAAATATTGAATATATAACCAACTGGTTAAACAATTAATAAGAGGAAATCAGTGATTTAAGAATATCAAACTATGTAATATTAACTATGTAATATTATGTTATCTGTGCTTTAACGAAACGACGCGACAATGTTATACAAATGCTAAATACATTGTCATGAAATCTCGAAATTATATCCTTGTTAATTCGATCCATCCATCTTAGTTAGCAACATTTGCATTTATTGTTAAGAATACACTTGCACTTTTGTTATAGGACATGATATTTTACTCATGTCTATCTAATGAGTGTTTTTTTATTTATTTAATTTTAGAAGAATTTTACATACCTAATATTCTTTGTTACAGATTTCAATAAAAACATTATTAATATTTTTTCTGAAGTTGTCTTTTTTTGCTTACATAATGAAAAATTCGTTGCTTTTATTTTCCCTTCAGTTGTTTCAGCTCTATAAAATGACTAGTGCCGGGTATCTCAATCCACGTGATCATAAATGTAATTAGCATCTATATCTGCAAAACTGAAAAAAAATATCCACCATTTTTGGTAGAGGCAAATTGGACGCGCGGCGCTATTCTCAATATTATATCGTGTCACATGTCATAATACTGATTAATTGCCTCTCATTGCAATGATATGGATAAAAAGAAAGAACAGCAACTCGTAAGCAACGACCTTTCGGTAACGAGATGCCGTCACTCAGCCCGCCAACCGTGCAATCCAATGCAACGAGTAGGTGTAGAGTAGATAACCTTTATGTTTTCTCTATTAATTATTCCAAATTGAATTGTGTGGGTACAAAAAATAACTATATTGTATTTTCAAATGGCATTAATAGAAAATACGTACGTAAATACGTACTATGTACCTACTGGGTACTAACTTGAGTATTCTTGGGATTACAGGGTATAAGAAATTAAACCGTGGCAGATTGCTGTCGTCCGTGGCACATTGATAATTTATTATATAATAATGGTATACATCTATGTATGTTAGTCTATAAGGTATATATAATATGGGCTATTAGTCACCTGAAATAAATACATAACAAATAATTCACTGGTCTCATTTTATAGCTTTAAGCAGCTAACAAGCTTTAATTGCTTAAAACAACGAACGATATGTAAAATTACAAATATAGTCTCAATAAACTACTTTAAAACTCTTTAATTTGTGTTTCACAAGTTAGATACTTACGTCTCTGAATTGTGTCCGAAGTCCCTGTCTACCTGGGTGGTTGAGCAGATGTTGTTCAAATTAATAAAAATCACTTTTCGATTACACTTGGTCGTTAGAGGCCGATACCAAATGTGTGTTCACGTCATCTCATGAATTTTAATGAAGATCGCGAAAACATGCGATTTGCAATAATTACAGCGAGTTGGTTAAATTATACTGCTCTTCTTATTGACTTCGCCGTGCTCGAAACATCGCTAGAGTTTAAAAATCTCCATTGCTGTGGTTTACGGCTACTCAACAAGCAGGCTGTATGTTTCCTAGCTACATGTAATTTAAAATCCATAGCCATAAAATAACATTTTACACCTTGAAGTGTATACTATAAAAATCTCCCAAAGTAGGTAATTAATATATATCTATTTTAAATTATTAAAATCATCTTTATTGTGATAATAAAAATAATAACCTAAAACAATTGACACAGCGCCATCTAGTCCCAAGATAAACAGAGCTTGTATTATGGGTACTAAACGATAGATAGATTACTTAAAAATTCTATTAAATACATACGTAATATACACAGAAAATACCCTGACCAATAGAAACAATTATGCTTACGTGGGAGGAATCGAACCCGCTGTGAATTATCATCAGTACAATAAAATATTAATATATATAGGTATATATACAATTTAAAATATTTTCAATTTAATATAACTTTATATATTATTGTATTAGTAAATAATTGGGTGATATCTACCTATATAAACGGAGGACGCAAAAATTAATTAAGTAAGAGAAAAGATTTTTTCGGTTTGATTGAGTATTTTATTCAAAAGTTTGTTGTAATGGGAGACAACGCCACCAGATAATTTTATGTATTTTTATTTATAATAATCAGATAAACACCTTAATATTTTTGCAAAATATATAAGCATATAGTACAATTTAAAATTATTACTGTGTGTGTGCCAATTACTGTGTTCGACATACATATAATACCCACAAACAATTACTCTTTATTATTAATAGCCAAATTATAAATAGATACTTAAGGGACTAATCGTTCAAGAATTTATGAAAGTATAAGACTACCAACGGGCAAGGACTTGCAGTCTAATAATAAAATTAGTTCTGGTGTGTGCTGTGGGCCTACTAATTAACATTACTTGAGAGATTTATTTATTTTATAAGTAAGTTTATTTTATATAAAATAACTAGCTGTTAACCGCGATATCGTCTGTGTGAAAATTAACTTTTTTTATTGAAATAAATAAAATTTCTAAATAAAAGTAGCCTAAGTTACATCTTATGACATTTGTTATCTACGAGTGAAACTGCCTGCAAGATCGGTCCAACTATTTTAGATATTAGCAAGAACAGCAGACAGACAAAAATTTGTGAATTATTTTTTTAATGTAAGTGCCGTATATACATTCATATACATTTGGTGAAATTAAATTAGAAAAATATAAATTCCTGGACATCGCACCAGGTTTGACTGAAATAATTACTACATATTGCCTAATAAACCTAACTTATTATTTTAGTACTCTTATCTAAATAAATTATAAGAATAAGGATCGGTAAAAATAATATTGAAACCAACCAATAATAATTTACTCAAAGGTATATTTGTTTTTACATTAATGGCGTATTTTAGGTACATACATCAAATAATTCTATATTTCACAATAGGCGCTCTTATAATAATATCACGTTATTTCTCTTAAACATATATGCAGACGGCAAATTAATATAACTGTTTAGAATTAAATATAATTAATGTTAGTCATACAACATTGCAATAATAAAATATATAATGCGATACAAAATAATCCTATGAATAGAATTTAAGTGTATGAATAATAGCTGGTGCTAATATACATATCTTTCTAAATGTTTTATAGAACAAAATTACACGCTCAGAGCAAACTAATATCTATATTATATCTAATAAAAAAGAACTGAATGCCCAAACGGTAACTGGCAAAGGAAGACTATTACGACTACTTACTGGGTTTTATAGGTAACACTATTTTAGATATTATTGCTTTTTACGTCGAAATAAAATATTTTTATAATGAATTTGAATTTCGCGCATGATCAAATTAAATCAAAATAGTATTCATAAACACACTCGCTTCAAATTCTAATGTTACGATAATATAAATTAATACAGAAATGTAAATGTACCTCCAGTAATGCATGTAAGTGGGAATACCATTGATTTCATGTTATCTGAGATGAGGTTTTGTTTAGATTCCATTTGAAGCTTTCATTGTATCGGAATTAAGCATGCAAATCGAAACACGGATAACAGAATGTGTAATTTCAACTATAATTTAAGAATATTAAACCTTATATTCAAATGTACACTGCTTTTGACACTCCTTTTAATTAGTATCAGTGTGAGTACTTACACCAATATCTGTTCCGTAACTAAGCTAGGACTATTTATTTGTACAAGAAATTGTAAAAACTAATGTATTAGCTATTAAAATAAGAATATCTTTGTATTTAGCCTTATTAAACGAAGTGAAAAACTAAGAGATATCTATACTATATGGAAGACTACACGATTTTGCTGTATAAGGCACACAGAATTCTTCTATGTGCTATTAAAATTATTATAATATCGGTTAATACATAAATATACCTATGCATTTAATATCTTAATACACAAAAATAAAATCTGACAACTAAGTATAAAAATAATTATAATAGTGGTTTGCTAAATAAACATGGCACTAAGTTCTAAACGAATAATCATAATGTAATACAATAACAACATAAGTGTCTGCTCTCTTATTACATACATAAAATACTGCGTCAGATGTCTTCCATAAATGTACACGTAGTAATCTACTTTCACTTATAATATAATGTAATTATCTCACTCATAAAATCTAAAGTATCACTCAAGAACTGACCATACAAGTAACTTTAATAAAATCGACTAATATTTTATATTTTCTTCTAGGTAAAATAATATTATGTATACCTATATGCTAGGAACTTTAATACTCTCTTCTTATCTTAATATACACTCTTGGCATTATGTACAATAGCTGAATTTAAAACTATATCACAGAATGCAATAAATGGAATGGAAGAAGTGTCACCATGGTCGCCAGGGTTTCTCTTCTGGCGGTGGTTTTCTCGTTACAAGAGCTAAAGGTGCACGCTGGGGGTCCTCGTTGGGGGGAGGTGGTGAGCCCCAGCCTGAACTAGCGGGGGAAAAGCATCTCGGTTCGGATGAAGCTGACGATGATGAGGCGTCTCTCGGTGACAAGGGTACTAATGTTGGAACAGCGCCGAGTGTACTGGCGCTGACACCAGCAGGTAAGACGAGGGCGATATCACCGTTTGCTAATCTTGTTGGTACGACACGAACGCCTGAACCAGGGCCAGCTGTAAATGAATTATCTATTTAGGATCTGCCAGTATTTTATGCTTATAATAATTATGATATGAGAGGCTAACTGCGGAAAACAGAGTCCAATATACAATGTATAATAAATTTTCAATTCTATAAACCAACTTAAATCTCTAGATTAGATAGATTCTTAATTCGACTGTATTTTATATTATATTGTGTTATTTCACCATATTTTCAGTTTTGTCCATTCAAAACAAGCTTACTTAATAAAACTTTGCCTTGCAATAATATGTCTATAATCATTATTTATATTATAATCTTAAACCCTTAACCTTATTTATTTATTTATTTACATCGTACTAAGTGAGCTTTACAGTCTCCCAATATGCCCACTTAGGCAGATAATATACAAATATACACAATTATAAACACTAATTACACGAGGAAACAAAAGAGAAAAAAAAACAATAATAATAATAATACCAAATCTCCATTTAACATACTACCTAAATAATCTACTGCCATCCTACAAAACTCCAGCAAATTACAAGTAAATATATCTAGATATGGAAAGCGACTAACTACACCGTTGAGTAGACTTAATGCCAGAGAAATAGGAGCCTGTTTGGCCAGCTCTGTTCTTCTCCATGGAACATCAAACAAGTTTCGTCTTCTTGCTTGTACGCAATTATTGGGCGCTCTTATGGATACTGATGCTAATACCGCCTAGTTACATTTTTCACCTCTCATGACTGACTACATATTCCATTAATGCAATCTTCCGTCTCACAGTGTGTCATATCCCACCATCCCCAACAAAAACATAGTAGGATATATATTAGGGTATGTGACTCTATAACCATACTGCCTTTGATATACATATGGATACATATTTAATTAAACTACATATTTAATTAAATATTTGATATCAAATTATTATATGTAATAATAATTTGATATCAAATATTAATAATAAAGTATCTGATTAAAATTTAAATTCAACTAGAATATTTACCAGAAATGAATATAGTAGAATGACTTGAAGTGGTAACATCTTCAGGATCAGAAGGTGGTGTCGGTGCTCTCACTGACCTTGCACCAGAGGCACAAGTCTCAAGATGTTTCACCAGGCGTTTCTTTAGCCCAGTGTCTAAGCCTGTGAATTTGGCAACCTCAGATACACAGTGTCTGTAACCCGCTCGAAATCGATCTGGCGACCCAGCGCTCTCGGAGCGAAGTCCTTCCAAATGTTTCACTGTCATTTCTAAGATGTCGGCTTTTTCTAACTTTGAATGTCGGGCTGGCTGCAACAATATATATGTAATATTATATACATTATTATCAACATAAAACATAATAAATGTAAATTCATTAATCATCATTAAGAACTGGTGTCCGTTGGTGTGCAACAGCGAACTTGTCAACTGTAGTTGAAACTGCATGTTTGATATCTTTTAACTGTTACTGTGTCTCTCAATCTTTATATATAAAAATTAAGTATCACGTTGTTTGTCCGTGATGGACTCCTAAACCGATTGCAAATTTGATTTGCACATTGTGTGCAATTTCATCTTGAAAGATAGGATAGCCCCAGCAACGCGTGGCCGGGTCTGCTAGTTAGTAATAAAACATAAGTAATAACAATAGATAATAATGTGATTGTACTGTTTATTTTTTTTTTATATACGTCTTCTAATATAGCTCAAATGTATAGATTATTATACCTAATATATAAGCTTTCTAACGTATAAAAGTATTACATAATTTTAAGCAGTAGTAATAAAAGCTACATTAGAGAATAACTTAGAAGATTAATTCTCGTTGCTTAATAATCGGCTTACTTCGATGTTTATTTAAAAGTATTCGACGCTTATTGCACTCAGACTTATTCTGATTAAATATATAATATTTATTCATAAATAAATGGCATTACATAGCAGTTCTTTGAAAATTAACTATAACCACCATATCCATGTATGCAAATATACAAATAGAAGAGCATAATTGTAATTATTACGGAATACTCACGTCTTTTTTCATGGCATCTAGAATGAGTGCTTTCAACTCGTTGAGACAGTTGTTAATGCGCGCGCGCCTTCGCTTCTCCATAATAGGCTTGTTACTCTGCAACAATAAATGAAAATAAATTAGTCAATGCAATCCGCTACAAATACATGTATACATATAATAAAAATGTAACTGACCGCTGTCAGTACATGACATATATAAGAAAACCTATTATTGAAGGACTTTCGCAACCAAAACAATGATTGTTAGAATTTTTGTTTGTACGTTAATGCACGCTACCCAAACGTCGGAAATGACTGAAACGCTTTGGGTGCGATGCTCACTAATTTATGTATTTATGTATACTAATTTATGTATAATATTATAATAATATAAATACACTATTTATGTGGTAATATTCATTTAAATTCAATTTTTGTTTTATACCAATTAAATTACACACTAGTAAGTTTTACCTGTAAGAAGACGGAAAATCATCTAGTTAGAAATATCAGAAAACATATTACCAACTAGCTGAGTCTAGAATATCAAGTCAAACAAATTCTTCCTCAGTGAAAGCCTATTGTATGGTATCAATCAATCACGCCAATGCTTGTGACATTCAAATAACTTCTTCAACCACATGACAATTGATAAGAATACAAAAGAATGCAAATAAAGTTAACCCACAGCTGTAAGAATCTGTTCGAAGGCAGATTGCTCACGTCGTTGCGTCGGATTTAATTTGCATCCGCTTACCTATGTTTAAAATCAAGTGGCTAGTGGCAAGGTCTTATTGAGCATTATCTAAGTTATATAGATTTAGTCTTAAGAATGTAAAAGAATGTAGAATAAATTTGTTTCCTACGTAGTCGAGTGCAAGCAGCCACCAGACTCTTTTCTAATGAGATTTATACGAGCAACACAGTATATCAATGGTATTTTTTCTACAGACCACAGTAACAATCTTGTTTCTTATCCCCATAAGAATAAGAAAAAACATGTTTCATAATTCAACTTCTAACATGAGGAGATCCAATGTCTTCAATAATGCAATATATCTACGATACTGAAAGAATTTCTCTTTTGTAATCGTGTATACTCCATATAATATATATTATTATGGAGTTTATATCTACGATAATTACATGATACATATTACACGATATTTTACACGCCTCCTGATCACGTTTCTACTGATCAGAACGTTGGTAACAGCACCGAAATATCGGGAGCCTATAAATAATATTATTATGGTAAATAATAAATATCACTTATATGTATACTATGTGTACGTAAACGTGTGTGTAAGTATTTAATATATTAACAGCAGTAACCCTTATTAACACATCTTAAAAATAAATTTGTAAATCTTGAAAATCTATTATGTCAAAATTAATAGTAAATTTATGTTAAAATTTACTGTCATCACGAGTGATGATAACAATACAAGTAACCATTAATCTCTCGTTACATGACGATGATGCCGCGTGGAGTTGGAGTGTGACAACTTCCAAGGTGAAGGTCACGGGTGGTCGTGATCGGCGCGGCGTAAGCCGTGACGGGGCGTCACGCGTATTCTAACCGCGTGATGTATACCGCAGGATAGCCTCCAATCTACTATATTTGCGGTGTTATTTTTGCATAACTATTGGGTTTTGTGTCTTATAAGATTTAATATAGACATTGAGGGTGTCGTGCGGTTTAATACTCCGACTTAAGTAACAAAAATCCACGAGTTCGAATCTGACCTAAAAATAATTTGTCTGTATATTTTTAAGTACAGAGACTATATTAAACCTAGAGACAGTGGTAGATAGCTTGCACCAATGTTGGATTCAAATATATCAAGCTAAATGTTTTATCATTAAAGTTGAGTACGTACGTTAAAGAGACCACAGTCGACAATGGTGGAAGACTCTCCTCTCCTTTTTAGATATTTGATATTGCGCTACTTCCGAATTATTTAAATACAAAGGTTACTTTTTCATTTTCCTGAATTTATGATGTCGGACTAAATTTGCTAATAATAATAAACAAGTATCATACCAATCTTAAAAGTAATGCCATATTCTTAGGAATAATAGTACCCTGAATATCTACTAACTGTTCTAGCTTATTCATCTTAGTAGATGTACTAACAGTAGTTTACTTGCCCGTTATATTCAGGTATAAATGGATGGTTTGGATAGGATGGTAGGTACCTATGTACAGTGAAAATAGTCTATACCTACTGTTATAGAAGTCCTTTCACCACACGCAGCGACAGTAAGTGAGTATTTATTATCTACTGAGTTCCCAAGTTTTTGTGACATCACTTCAAGCGTTGTTGTAACAAAATTTGAGAACTCGTTTAATAAAAACGTCGCATTACAAATATTTAACCTCACATGAACTGTCTAAAACTTACGAATAAATGCGATGTCTGTAAAAAGAATGACGAGACTTTTTTATTGCATATCGTTTTTATTTATAACGCATAAACACTAGGAACTAAACTATCCCAGACAAAACTCACCAACGTGACAGCTTACGTAACGATTTGGCGAGTCACGCTGCAGCAGTGGGCACGGGCAGATTGGATTTAGAATTACTGTCAGTGTTGCTATTTTAGTGGTTTCACCACTAAATCTAGTTTATTTGACCCCCTTTTGTTTCTCGTGGTTTGTAAATTTTTAGTGGTCAAATATTGGGCAAATAAGCATTTTCAAATTCTCATATTCCATTTTCTGCGAATAATTAACATCGTTTTGACAATATATCTCTTATGACACTAAACTTTAGTAACTTTTCAGAGGATTCCATATTAGGTATTGATTAATTTTGATAGAAAAATACCCTTTCAACTTTTCTGATATAAAATAACTTTTGAATAATAATTAACGTGTTAAATATTCTAAAATAAACGTGTATCTACTAACAAAATTTAATTTTGCGGATTTTCTAGTCCTTATTGGCGTTCTGCCCAGTGGGCTCGCCCAAACATCGCTGGCAACACTATGCTGTCAATGAGATACTGGCTGCCGTAACGTACGTAACGCGAGGCGCCGCCGAACGACGGGCGTCGGGGTCACCGGTCGTCACGTCACCGTCTGCCGCGAGCCGAGACCACGCGCCACTTTTCCGACGGAAATATATCGCGTGTTGACATTGTTTTTGTAATCGACTACAGGGTGACAGAGGTTGACTGTCTCATTTATTTCAGCCGGCATTTCTGCATGTAGGGTGCAGATTAGCCAGTGAAATTACAGACTAGGAGGCATGACAGCTTTATGCTCTGGAATGGCAACGCATGATTGGTATCCTGGCTACGGGATATCCGTATTGCAGTTCATCTATACAGACGACGGTTATGGTTTACCACTTGCCAACTAATTCGCCATTACAATTACAAAAAAATGGCATAAATGACGGCCAGCTTCATAGACAATTGTAACTGTCACTATAGAATAGAATTGTAAATGGATACCGCCGAATGTAGTTTAGAAGCTTGTGTTGCCATTCCTAAGTACTATACCCCTGTACTCGACAATTCTATTCTCGTATCTCATATTTTCGAACTGAAATGCAACGAAACAAGCTGTTTGACGACAGAAGTAGGAAACACTAAGATTCTAATTACGCAGACTATTTCGTAGATACTTTTACTCTTCTAGATACAATAATTAAGTACGTGTTTGTCACTTAATTCATAAAAGGATGGCACGGTTTAGGTGAATTTTTTGGTTTTAATAATGATCTTCAAACCATCCAATGGTTTGAAGATTATTAAACCCAGTATGTGGCTCTGTTTTTCTGGGCAGAGCATTGTCTGCCGGGTCCGTAAGTATATTTTTCATATACTGCTTTGATTATAATCTTTTTATAAACTGACGTCCAGACACCAATGGATTATAGCCATGTACATTGCATAACTTTAGATTATCTAATGAAAAATCAAGATGCTTTAACTGTCAATGTCATCCATCTTTATCCATCACGAAGATTATGATTATTGTTTACTAAATGAGTACAACGGAGTTAACGAGCAAATAAAATGATTGCGTAGTAACACCACGTGAACACGCGCAATATCAACGTGATTTGTTGACATAATGCTCACACACACACACACACACACACACACATATTAATAGGTACATCTCTATATAACATAATGACAGCATCGAGTAAGCAGAAGGTACCTACAATATAATTGTGCATTGATGTCATAATATTTTTTAAACTTTTTAGTTATAATTTTAAAACCAACATAGGCATATTGCGAAAAAAAGGTTACAGCCAGTATCTGATGGCATATTCGTATATAAAGACAGCAATATGAACATCACAGAATACATTACATCTCGCGTAGCATAACTTACCTAACGTCAACAAATAGGTAATTTGGCCATAACCCTGTGCCTTATGAGCGAAACTGACGTATGATCCAATAAGTAGGCATGTAGTCGACTGCACATTATTTCTCTGGTAGTGAGACATCCGCTGTCATTTAGATAATTTATTGTAATTTAATGCACTTGCAAAAGAATAAAAATGAGATTATGTTTACCAGCAACGTTATCATTTCAGTGTTCAAAGTTCCCAAAATGTTTCATTTCAAATATTTTAGGAACTTTGCAAACTATTTATATCGTTTACAAACTAGATAGGTTTTAAGAACAATTGGGAATTTGTCTGGAAATCGTATGGCATAGAATAATGTTTATTATCATACACATGGCACTAACGCGTATTTTAATTTTGCTACTAAGCATTTTTAAATTCATCTACAATTTTGAAGATATACAGAGGTAGAGTCACTCACAGAATATAAATTGAAATAATAATAAAAATATGTACGAGCATGCAATGCATATATAGAGGTATGAGAAGTAGAGAAGGTTCTAAGTTCGTCAGTATTATTAATTTTTTTATTTAATCATCAGTCTCTAGCAATAATAGGTACTTATAATAGGTTTATTAACTCATTTTTCAATTCGTTTTAACAATAAACTTTAGTATACCTCTAGCCAACCCAGTGTATCTTTATTGTGAAATTTGAACATTTAGTTCATATCCATAGCAGATACCGAGGAATTAATGAAAAAGAAAAGAACAATTGTTCATGTATAAAC